CACTCAGGACCAACCCGGCCCCAGCCCGTCAGGGCCTCACGGCCCGGGCTGCAGACCCACCCCAGCTCGACCCAGCCGCCCCTTACCTTCAGCTCCGACTAGGTTCCGATCCCAGACCGGCCTCTGCGGTGCTGGCCTCTGCTCCTTAAACTCTCCGCTCTGAGCACTCATTGGCTCCTTCAAAACCCAACCGTCGCAACCGTCGCCTTCACCCATTGGTCTTTCACGGCACAGAAGGCGGGTCTTCCGGTGCAAGTCACAGATCTCACGAGAATCCAGTCATGGAGCGTGATTTGAAGGGTGAGAGAGTTCAGGCGGGTCTCCAGAGAACTGGTGCCGAAAAGAGAGAGGGGCGGGGCGGGGCGCGCCTAGGGGCGGGGCCTGAGCTGCCGCGGCATTCCGGAGTCGCTTCCATTCATTCTTCAGCTTGCCCTCTCCGGCCCGTCACAGTTAAAGTCTGCATGTGGATTGTATTTATGATGCATAAGTGAAGAACACGGTGGGGTGACGTAAAGCACTCGAGCCCTTCTGAGACGGGAAAGGAGGCAGGTGGGCAGGGGTGGGGGAAGGAGGTGAGAAGCTCAGGAGCAGAAAGGCCAGACCTAGTTAGCTTGGTGCCTTGTAGGAGCACTGCTAGGAAGGACGTAAGGTGTGTGTGTGTGTGTGTGTGTGTTTTGGTTTGTTTGGTTTTGGGGTTTTTTGGGGGGGGGAGGGGCAGAATCCTAATCCCTGTTTAGGATTCTCTGAGGGGAGGCGGATGCGGGGCTCTGTCCTTAGACCCTGGGATCTTGACCTGAGCCAGACGCTCAACCGACTGAGCCACCCAGACGCCCCACGTGTGTTAGTTTTTAAAAAACTGTTCTGTTGTTGTTTTACAAACAGGGAAAATGAGGCTGAAAAACGGGTGAATTCCTTAAGGCTAAGAAAAAAGATCAGGATTCAGACCTGCCTGTCTGGAGATAAGATTGAACTGAGAGACATTGTGGCTTTACTACCCATGGGGCTTTAGAGGTGTCAGAAATTTTGAAGATCCACTAGTCTAATATGTGTGTGGTGCATCCTCCCCATTCTGACAACATACCCATATTTTACAGATGGAAAAACCAAGGTCCAGGGAAGGGATTTGCCTGAGACCACACAGTTTGTGGGAAGTGAGGTCTGACTCCCATTCATTCAATCCAATGCTTTAATAATGGCTTGAATGAATTGTGTGAATATGCTTAGAGGTGAGCAGCAATAATAAAGATAATAATGGGTACCATTTATTGGCCATCTACTAACGACTGTGTTTAAACAGTTTACACACATTATTGAGTTTAATCCTTAATCCCATAGGGCAGATATTCTGTCCCCTTTTGATAGAGAAAGAAACTGGGTCAGAAAAAGTTTAGAAATGTGCCCAAAGACATATAGCCAAAAATAAATAGTAGAGCCAAACTATCTGGCTAGCCCCTGCACTCCTAACCAAATTGTATACTGTTCCAGAGAGGAGGCTAGAAAAATCATGTTTTCAATCATTAGAGCAACTCTGATGATGACAGAGAAAAATCTAGGGCTCTTAGCCCAAACTTAATACTGTTTTTATTTTTTATTTTGAAGCATTCTTTTTTTTTTTTTTCCAACTTTTTAAATTTCCAATTACGACTTGGGGTTGGCAACCGGGAGTCCCTGAAGCCCAGAGAACATAGAAAAGGTTGTCTACAGTCAGGCTGGTCAGGGCCTCAAATGTTAAGCTAAGGAGTTTGGACTTTATCTGCTAGGCATTGTGGAATCAGTGAATTTCTATGTAGGGAAGGGCCAAACAAAACATATCTGAATGTAGGACAGAGCCAGCAAGTTCTGGAGTAAGGGTAACTATAGAGAAAAATCAGGGTAAATGAAGGGGACAACCTCAGGGAATTCATACATTTTAAAATAAAGGAATGAAAGAGCCAGTGGAGATTATACTGGCATGGGCCTTGAAGGGGGAGGAATTGAGTATATGCAAAATGGTCAAGAAGAATGGTGACAGAAAAGGTCAGATTTGGCCACTGACAAATAAGTCATCAGTGACTTGGAAGAGAACTGGATGAGAAGAATGCATGCTTGAGGAAGGGGCCACAGAAATAAGGGTGGGGGTGGGGAGAGTGTAGAGGCAGCAAACATGGGATACTTATGTGAGAAGATTGGGATTGAGGAAGGGGCAGAGCATGGGAACTCGAGGGAACCAGTACCAAGAAGCCTATGCATGTTTGAAGGTGAAGGCAAAAGAGGCCAGGCAAGGGCCAGCTGATAGAACAAGGTGCCTGGGTTACCTTACCCAGGAAGAAGTGGGATAGATAACACAGGGAGCTTTCCAGTCTAGGAAAGAAAGAAAGAAGGCTCTCCAGTCTACCAAAGGTCACCATTCCTGTCAGGTAACCCTCTCTTAGGGCCACTCTCTTGCAATCGAGTAACCATACTCCCCTGTCACCCCTTGATACCTAGTGGTGGTAACACTCTCAGCTATTGCTAGTGCTGGGATACTGGACTAGTCTTAGGCTGGAGGGAAGGAGAACAAGGCTTTAGAGAAGGCTAATTAAAGGCTAAGTTGCTGATTAGATGAGGGAACTCCCGCCTGTAAGACTTGAATCTAGGAAAGCAAAGGGCACGGAAGGAATACGATTTGGTGACATCTAGGGGATAGAAGAGCCCAGTAGGGATAATAAAAATCACTCAATAAACGCTGAGTATTTACTATGTGCTTGACATTGTGTTAATGCTTTTAATCCTAATGTGGGGAAACACTAGAAGAGGAAAAGATCAGGTTCTGAAGAGTGAAGCCAAAGATTTAGAGGCATGGAGTGGGATGAATAGGAAGATCAATCTGTAGGTAACATACAGATTGGGTTTAAGGAGAGATACTGGAGGCAGAGATATTAGTTGGAAGGCTGTAGCAACAGCTCAGTAGAGATGGAGGAGGTGGACCCTAGGAAGTCAAAGTGGTTAGGACAGTGGTGTAAAGGTGAGCAGTTTAGTGGTTTGACTCTCAATCCTAGTCTTAAGTCTTTAAGAATAGAGTTGGAGCCTTGACCATGGCTAGTGGAAGGAATTATGGAAAACAGGTATACTGGATGTCATCCATTTGTCTCATTCAGACCCACTCTTTGGCCTTTTCTACCATGCCTTGTGCCCTGTGAAGCTGATTTATATGGCCTACATCAATGGATTACCTTGGGCTTTGGTTTCTGTTTGAGTTCCTCAAATGGGAGGATACTATGGATTAAATTGTGTCCCTGCCCCCCCCTTCACATGTTGAATTCCTAAGCCCCAATACTCCAGAGTGGAACCTTATTTGGAAATAGGCTCATTGCAGATATAATTAGTTAAGATGAAGTCATTTCAGTGGGCCCTAATCCAGTGAAACTGGTGTCCTTATAAAATGGGGAAGCTTAGACACAGAAACACACAAGGAAAATGCCATATGAAGAGAAAGGCAGAGATGGGGGTGATGCTTCTACAAGCCAAGGAACACCAGGATTGCCAGGAAACCACTAGAAGCTAGAGGACAGGCCTGGAACAGATTGTTCCCCACAGCTCTTGGAAGGAATTAACTCTGATGACACCCTGAACTTCTAAGCCTCCAGAACTGTGACACAATACATTTCTGTTGTTTACGCCACCAACTTTGTGGTACTTTGTTACACCAGTGCTAGCAAACTAATACGGAGGAGAACAAAGGGTGGGGGGAGAGTGAGCATGAGCTATTTATTCCCCGCTCCCTCCCTGCCGTGTCCCCACAGCTTGGTTGTATCTTTCTACCAAAGGTCACCACTCCTGTCAGTAAGCCCTCTCTTAGAGCTATTCTCTTGTGATCTAGTAACTACACTCCCCTCCCCCCCATACCCCTTGATACCTAGGGGTGGTACCAGCTCCCAGCTAATGCTAGCACTTGGGCACTGCCCTAGTCCTTGATGGTTTTCCATTAAATCCTGCCTTATCTTTATAAATATGGCCGTTATTAAACTCTCATCAAGATGCCCAGTTTGAGTGTGCCATGTCTTTCTGCCAGGACCTTGACTAATACAGTGGGTATGATTGGAGCCAGCAAAGAATACCATTTATTTGTGAATTTGAATGAGTCAGGGGAATCTATAAACAGAATGGCCTAAGCACATTTACTGCTGAAAATGAATGGCTTAGAGAATGAGGGAGCTTGGCATGAGGTTAAGGTGGCATTGTCCAGAAAGATGTCCTTCATTTAGAAAACCTTTATTGAAGGCCTACTACCATGCACCAAGCACTGCTCTAGGTGCTGGGGGGGAAAGACAAATAAATCACATCCCTTGCCCTCAAGGAGCTCACAATCTCATAGTGGGAGACAAACATGTAAACACTTACTTGCATAAAGCATCACAGGTACTATAGCAGAAGTCAGGGCTAGAGATAAGAACTTTGGAATGAATGATGAGCTTATAGGAAAGTCAACGGATTCTTGAGGAACTACAATAATTAAGGGGTGGAAGACATGCCAGGATAAGAGAATAAGAAGGAATAATTACAATAGGTCAGGTATATTCAACACTATGTCCTAGGCACTGTGCTCTATTTAGATGATCTCACTTAATTCTCTTCACAAGTCGGTGAGGTTCTGTCGCCATTCCTATTTTAATAAACGAGATAAATCAAGGCTTACAGACTTTAAGTTACATGCCCAAGGTCACACAGCTAGCAAGCAGGTAAGAGGAATTGAACCCAGCTGTGACTCCAGAGTTTATGCTTTTAACTACTCCTATATTCAGAGCCAGGAGAGATGGCAATATTGTGGAAGCCAAGGTAGGAGAGATTTTAAAGGGGAGTTGAGTGGCCACCATGACAGATGCCACAGAGAGATCAAATAAATTGAGGATTGATAAGATCCTATTGGATCTTACAATTTCATGATTTGAAGTGAACTCTGCCTGGGTAGTTTCCTTCGCAAAGTAAGGGAACTAACTAAAGTAGTCTGAAGAGCAAATGGGAAGTGGGGATGTGATGTCTTTTCAAGGAGTCAAGCATTAGGGAGGAGAGAGAAAGTAGGTGAAAGTTAGAGCAGCTTAGTCAAATGAGCCTGGTGTGAGGAGCAAGGGTCCTGGCTTTATGTCAGCAGCAGTACCAAACGGTCATCATCAGTGGTCAGTGTCGTGGAGCCCAGCTGTGAGGACCGACAGGGGGGGATGGACGTGAGATCTGAGAGGTTTGTATGGTGAGGCTGGGGTGGGTAGGGAGGATGGGAAAAGAGGTCTGGTGGGTTTGGATCTGTCCAGGGTACTGGGAGAGAGGGGCCTGCCAGCAGCTTAGAGGTAAATAGGAATGGTTGGCAATGTGAGTGGTACAATAAGACCCCATCTCAGCCATGGGTGGGCACACGGACAGAGGCATGGTCCCCAGGCAAGAAGGGGGCAATCTTCGGTAGTCCATCTGGGCCTGGGAGGAACATAGGGCCACAGGAGTCTTCTCTGAGGACTTGGGTAGAATTTCAAGGGGGCTGGGTTCCACTTCCTCATAGGCATCTGAGGCTGCAGCCTTGGGCTGGGAGAGATGGGGGGGAAGGAGTCCGGATCAGAGCAGGACCCGTGGGGGGAGGACCTGGATTGCGCAGGAAGGAGGCGTAGGCTGTGGGCAGAGCTTAGGGATGGTATGCTGGTGGGCAAGGGCCTTGGAAGAGTGTACAATGGGGCAAGGGTCCAGCTCCAGGCAGGGCTTGGCGGGGGGGCGGTGGGGGGAAGGCACTCACTGGACTCAGTGCTGCAGTATCCCTAAGGTACTGGCCTAGGACCCGATGCAGATCTGGAAGTGAGGGCCACAGGGCATGCTTCAGGCTCCTTGGGGAGAAGGAAGAGAAGGAGACTGAATTACAGGAGTGAATTAGGAGGGAGGAGGAGACGACTGTGGTGGGGGTGAGGCTGAGATCAGGGAATAAGGCTTGGAGAGGTAAGAATACAGTCAAGGCAATAAAGGAAGGTAGAGGAGCATAGATGAAAAGGAGGGAAGGGAAGTCAGTAGTGGGGAGGTTCAAAAAAAGGGTTTGAGTTTCCTCAAACATCCCTGCTTCAGGGTCTTTGTACTTACCATTCTCTCTGCCTCTTGATTTGTTCCCTCGTTTCATTTGGGTCTCTGCTCAAATGTCATCCTGGCAGAGAGGCCTTCTCTGACTGCCATGTCTAAAATACTACCACCTCCCGTCCCCGCCCCTATTTCTGCTTTATTTTTCTTTATAGCACTTAATGGCATATGCATTATATTATTATCCATTTGGGGGGAGGTCTGTCTTATTCCACTAAAATATAAACTCCATGAGCACAAAGAGTGTGTCTATTTGCTCAGTCCTGTATGTCCAGGGTATAGAAAACTGTCTGGCCCATAGTAGGCACACAAGAAATTAGTTGAATGGGCGAATGAAGAGAACCAGAGGGGTTTATTACTGAGTTACTGGGGAAGGTGGTCTCTCTGGGAAGACTACAGATTAAGGTATGTTGGGGGAACCTCCAATTCTTTAGGCTCATATTTCTGCATGGAAAGACTTCAGCTGAACAAGATTTCAGGCTTCTTTTGCGACCTCACTTGTATCTCTCCAGGGGAGGACTGATTTATCTGGCAAACTGGTGACAAGGAACTGAGTATGCCTGGGTCAGCAGCAGCACCTCCCCCCAACTTTTTTGTTGGATCTGACCACCTGCAGAGAGGCTATAATCTGGTCTGCTCATACATATGAGTGGATTAAAAATTCAAAGAAAGACATGTTCAAGGAGAGATGGGAGCACAGAGGAGGGACATCTCACCTAGCCTAGGGTCACCAAAAGAGGCTGCTTGGAGGACTTGCCTTCTGAGCTAGGTCTTCAAGAACCAAGAGATGTTACCAATGAAAGGACTGAGGTGTACGGATGCTATCCTCATGTTTTTGTTTGTTTTTTTTTTTTCTATCCTCATGTTTATAACTTCCAATGACATTTCTTTTCAGCTTTAGTCTTTCCACATAAACAAGTCATTAATAACATTTATTTAAGGATGTGCTATTTGGCAGGCACTGTGCTGAGGATTTAAAGATGACCATGTAAGGTAGAGGGAAGACATATAAAGAAAGAAATACTGTAAAATGCTACTGGTACTGTGAAAGAAGTCTGTACTGAGGCACAAAGAGAGTAGCCAAGAGGGGAGGGTTAGGAAAGTTTTCTAGGAGTTGGTGGAGAAAGTTATTTAAAGATAAAAAGGGGATTAGTCATCCAGGGAGGATATTCCTGGCAGAGGGGATATCATATGCAAAGGTACCAAGAAGTAAAACCACTTGATTGGTGGAGGGAATCCCCAACAGTTTGGCAAGGCTGAATGCACAGGGAGGGGGTGGGGGTTGCAAATTCTGGCCAGGGCCAGATTTTACAGAGCCTTGCTTGTCATTCCAGAGTCTGGACTCTATCCTGGTGCACGAGTCATGAGACTTAAGGAGGGGAATGGCAGACTCTTTGGGTGGCTATGTGAGGCTAGATTGGAGGGGAAAGAGGCTCTGTTTCAGTGAGCTAGTTGGTGTCTACAGTAGGGCTAGAAAAGGGGGGCCACTGTTTGAGTGAGGCTTAGGAGGTGGAATGACCAGACCAGGCCAGACTGGATAGAGGGGAGGGAGGCGTCCAGTGTTCTGGTCTGGGTGATGGGTGGACAGTAGCCTTGTTACTGAGATGAGGAGCCAGGAGGTGGGGTTGTTTGAGGTGTCCAGGATAGCGGGCATGTCAGAGTGTGAGCAGGCGGTGTGACTCCCAGGGGAGACGTGCAGGAAGTGGCTGAAGCCACAGGTGTGGCCCTGCGGTCCTCGGGAGGGCTGGTGGCATTGAGAAACCCTGGGATGCTTGTTTAGAGGCCTCTGGCCCCACCCGGACCACGGTCCCGTCTCCTGCGTGACCGGGGCGGTACCTGTAGTGCGCAGGAAACTGCCACCTCAGCAGCAGCAGGCCCAGGAGGGTGCTGAGGCCCAGCACCACGAGCAGAGCGGTCACCAAGGAGATCCAGGCTAAGGGACGAAACCAGTCAGACCTCTGCCGCCGCTGGATGGAACCCAGGGCCAGCCAGGCCCCGCCAGGCCCCGCCCTGGGCCCGCCCCTCAGACCCGCCCCGCGCTGCGCGGGCCCACCCCGAAGCCCCCAACTCGCGCAGACGCAGAGCGCTTGCCCAGGCCGGGCCCTCACCAGTCTCGGAGGCGGTTTCTACCCGCACTGGGTCTGACCAGGCGCTCCAGGGCCCTTGGTAGGTGGGGCCGTGGAGCCTGGCGCGCATCTGTAAGCGGTAGCGGGAGCGCGGGCGCAGCTCCAAGGTCTCTCCCTGGGCGCCGAGAGGCGGCTCCAGCACCTGCGCAGAGGGGGACAAGCCGGTGGGCAGGCTCCGGGGGGCGGTGCGCCGGCGTCGCAGCCTCGAGAGCCTGGCATCCTTTTGGCCAGAATCCTACAGCTTTGAATCTTCGGGGATCCGCCCCTACCCCTCTTCCCCTCAACTAACCTCCCTGGCAGAAAACATGCATCCGGGTGGAGAGCCCCTCTCTGACAGCGGTCTCGCCCTCCCGAGGCACGACGCACGACGCACGCCTGGCCTTCGAGAACCGCACCCCGGCACACAGGCTAGCACACAGACCTCATCTGCACGGAGAACCAACTACTCATCCTGACACGAAAACATACACACACTGACCAGGACACGCGGACGTCCCGCCAGAGGTGCTCACCAGGGTGCAGGTCGGGCGATGGAAACCCCGGGCACATTCAGATACTCAGGGCCACATGGACTGTTCACAAGTAACATGCATCCAGTAGCGGATGCTAGGTGCTGGTGGTACAAGGACAGATTCCAAGCAGAGGAAACAAGCGTCGTGTGGACGGGCAGGGAGACTAGCAATCAGGTGGCCAACACTTAGGAACTGCTGGCGATACAACAAGCACTGGGTTGGGCACTTGGGGAAAAGGATAAATGAAACATGGTTTCTCACAAGTCTAATGAGGAAGGCATGCAATCAGTGCTATAATGATGCTATGAGTAGGGCACGATGGGAACGTGAAGAAGCATGCCATGCTGCCTGGGTTGCTTGGTTGGGGATTACAGCCTAGTTCCGTGTGCTAAGAGCATGGAGGGCCAAGCTGGGTTTGTCAAAGATGAGGGGAAGGCAGTGGGAGTGGCGATGTGAGGACTGTCGGTACAATAAACTCAACTTACTTGTTGATAAATGGAGGGAAGGGGACAAGGGAAAAGGAAGAAGAGTCCAGGCTGATTCCAGGCTTGGATAACTGGGTAAGTGGTAGTACCGTTGTCAGATAGAGAACAAAGAAGTAAGTTTGAGAACGAAACACTGTATGGTTCCATTTTGTTCAAAAAACAGTCAAAACTTGTCAAAATAGTAGTGGTGTCAAAATGGTAGTTACCTTGGGTGTGTGTGACTGTAAGGGGCCTGAGATGCTTCTGGGATGCTGGAAATAACCTATTATCTTGATCTGGGTAATGGTTACATAGGCGTTCACATGTACAAGTTAATCAATTGTATATGTAAGATCTGTGTACTTTAATGAATGTAACTTACACCTCAATAAAAAGGCAAAATAAGCTTGGGGAGGAAGGTCAGTTTAGTTTTGGGTATACTGGCTCTGAAATGCCCCAAGGGTCTTTTATGTAGAGCTATCTGGTGAGAAGTTGTATATACATGTGGTTAATGAGAATGAAAGTAGGAAAGAATGAGATGGTTCAGCCAGAGAAATAGTTTGAGAATCAGGAGAACTGATATCCCAAAGGCAAAGGGAAGAGAAAAATTTAAATGGTCGTGGTCAACAGTATCAAATGTCAAAGAGAGACTAAGATACCAGTTGCATCAGATAAACACAGATCTACAAACCCAGACACAGATACATAGACACCTTCAGTCCTGATAACAGACCCGATGGAACTCAGGAATACCATGTGTAGTGAGGTCTGTGGGCATTTTTCCCTCGATCGTACCTTCCAGTCTTGATGGCCTTCTCCTGTGTACCGGAGCTGATAGCAGGTCTCTTGGGCACCCCAGGATGATGGGTGTTTCCACTGCAATTCCAGCTGCCCGCTGGAGACCTCCCTCCAGTACAAGTTTGGAGTGGGGATGAGCACTACAGGGATGCCGGCAGGGACTGGCTAAGCCCTTCTGTGCATGAGATCTCATGCCACCAGGGCCACCGGTCAGAAGTAACCAGAAGTCATCCTGGGCAAGGGGTCAGGAGTCGTAGGGGCAGGGGATACATGGGAGGGGAAGGGAAAAAGTTCTTACCAGCCTGGCGGATCCAGAAAGGGGAGCCCAGGTAGCTGTGAACGGCACCCTGGGCTGTGGTCACCTCCACAAGGATGTGAATAACACTGTCGTTTCGTGACTTGAAATGGCAGCGAGAGAACTGGGAGGGTTTTAATCCCGGAGCTTTCTCCTCTTCACACTTCTCCCAGATGGGGTCCCTAAGGATCATCCCCACAGAGTCATTGAATCAGGCCTGCCCCAGAGACTAATCCTGATTGTTCTCATCCCACAGGTGATACGGCCTGTAGGGACCGTAATCTAACTCCTCCCTCGGCTTCCAGGCCTTTCTCTCTGTCTTCCTGCCATGGTGTTTTGTTTTCTGAAGTTTACTTTGGTGTCCATCCTCTTCCTCTTAGGGAAAGAGCTAGATGATACATGAAAATAGCCTGAGCTATAGAGTTCCTGCCTTGCTTACTGGTATACAACTCTGGAAAATTATTTGATTGACCTCTGCTTCCATTTCCTCATTGATAAAATGGGTTAATAATACCTACTTCACTGGACTGTTTCAAAGAGCCTTCTTTCTGGTGGAAACATACTTATGTTTTTAATCTGTTCTACAGCAGCCCTGCTAGTCACCTGTATATATTATTTGACCATTAGATGATTACAACAGCCTCCCAGCTGGCTTTTCTGCCTTAATTTTCCACTCCTTTCAGTTTGTTTTCCACATAGTTACCAGAATTTGCTTCCCAAATGTTGATCTGATAATGACCAGAATATATCACAAATCTGTCCATTTATTGAAATCTTTAACACTTCCACATGCGATGAACTACCTCTCTCTTGCCTGGATTAAGGCAAACTTCTAACTGGTGACTCTGCTTCTATGTGTGCTTCTTTATAATATCACAGAGAAACATATGTTTTTAAAATTAAAATCACATCACATCACTCTTCTGCTTAAAATCCTTCATGGCTCTCTGTCCCACCTTGAATGAAATCCAGACTCCATACCAGGGCCCACAGGACTCTATGTGATTTAATTCTTCTCTACCTGGCTACTCTCCTGTAATTCTTACACCTGTTTGCCACCCTTCATCCACATGGGCCTTCTTTCTGTGCTATAAATATGCCACATGTACTGCCTTTGCACTTCACCTTGCCCTGGGTTGCTCTGACTCTAGATCTTCATGTGACTCATTCTTTTTTGCCACTTAGGTCTCAGCTCACCTGTCACCTCCTTGGCGAGGCTTCTCTAGACCACAGAGTCTAGATTAGCATCCACCCCCCATCCCTCCCACTTAGTCTCTATCATATAACCTTGTTTCTTGATTTCTTTACTTCTTTGTCACCCCTTCCTTTCCCCCTGACTAAAATGTCAGCCCCAATAATGTGGAAACTTTGCTGTTTCATTTGTCACTCTATTCCAATACCTGCCACATAGTCACTCTCAATAATTGTTTATTGCACAAGTGAAGCACGTCTCTTCCTGATTGTAATGCCTAAATTGCTAGCTATTACTACAATTATTTATTAATATATTTATATGTTAAAATTTTTTTAAACGTTTATTCATTCTTGGAAGACAGCATGAGTGGGGGATGGGCAGAAAGAGAGAGAGGGGGAGACACAGAATCTGAAGCAGGCTCCAGGCTCTGAGCTCTCAGCACAGAGCCTGTTGTGGGGCTCAGAGCATGAATCATGAGATCATGACCTGAGCCGAAGTTGGACATTTAACTGACTGAGCCACCCAGGCGCCCCTATTAATATATTCGTATGTTTACTTCTTTATTCAACGAATAATTGATACCATGTGCCAGGCGCTGTGCTAGGTACTATGAATACATAGAGGAATAATCAAGGAGCTTTCACTCCAGTGGAAGAGGCAGAAAAACAGATGATATTTTTCTGTGGTGTACCCTGGCTCGTTTGGGGGGGTATCAAAGAGGATAATCTAACCAAGACTGGGACCGTCAGAGAATACTTCCTGAGCAAGGCAGTGCTTAGACTGCATCTTGGACTATAAATAGGATAGGCAGAGGGGACAAAGAGGCATACCAGTCACATACTTGTGCACAAATAAGAGATATAGTGCTTTGGGGGAAATTCGAAGTGTGCAAAATACTCTGAGCTTAGAGGGCCTGGTGGTGAGTGGTAAATAGGAGAGGGCAGACTAAGGTCATGGAGGGCCTTATGACCTTTCTAAGGAGCTTGAACTTAATCTTATAATGATTATGGAGACATTTAAGACTTTTAAATCAAAAATTGTCATAATTAGCATTGCACTTTGGGAAGATCACTGTAACTGCAGGTTGTAGGAAACTATTCACGAGGACAGACTAGAAGCAAGGAAATCCATTAGGACACTTTTATGGCTTCCATAAAAATTCCATGTATGAGGTGATGAGGACCTGGAATAGGGTTGTGGCAATGGGGGTGGACAAAAATAGATGGATTCAGAGGATATTGAAGAGGCAGAAATGATAAGACCATTTCTGATTGGATCTGGAGGGTGGGGAAATGGCAGAAGTCCAGGGTGAGTTCCATGTTTCAGGTCTGAAAAACCAAGTTGATGTAGGATGGAGGACAATTGAAGGTGGAGCAGGTTTTGGTAGAAGAAATGATGACTTCAGTTTTGCTTCCCTTTAATCCATTCATGGCACAGCTAGACTTTGGAAAGCTGTGCACTTATTTAAAAGAATGAGTTGCATCTTTTTGTAATGGGCTCCAAGACATATTTTAGAAAGTTGTTTTAATGATTATTTATTTTTGAGAAAGAGACACGCACACAGCATGAGCCGGGGAGGGGCAGAGAGAGAGAATCCCAAGCAAGCACTGTGGTAAGTGAGAATACATTAGTGAGTAAAAGCAGACATTGGCTTTGCCTTAGGCATCATGTATAGTCAAGATCAGCCGTTCTCAACTGGAGTTCTGAGAGTGATATTATCAGTCAAATAACCCCATAAAGTATAAATGTAAAATTATAACTATGAAAAATACTTAAGAAGGAGAGATATATGGTAGAATAAGCATGTATAATAGTGCTGTTGGACCTAATGGGGAAGATCAGGGGAGGGTTCCCTGAGGAGGTGACATTTGAGTTGAGAACTGAAGGATAAGTAGAAGTTAAGACAGGAGGGCTGGGTAGACAGCATGTGCAAAGACCCAGAGGCAGGAGAGAATATGGCAGATAGAAGGGGACCAAAGAGTCAGAGAGAGGAAAAGACAGAAGAGTGTAAGATGAAGCTGAAGGCATAGGTAGGGGCTAAGTCTTTCAGTAATTTATAAGGTCACAATAGGGTTCTTTTTGTTTCTTTCTTTCTTTTTATCCCAAGATCAGTGGGAAGCTATTGAAGACTTTTAAGCCAAGAGTGTTATATTCATTTTTGCACTTTAAAAGATCACCCCAGGGGCACCTGGATGGCTCAGTCACTTGAGTGTCTGACCAACTCTTGATTTCAGCTCAGGAGCCTGTTTAAGATTCTCTCTCTCCCACTGCAACCCGCCCCCCCCCCCCCGCCCCCGCTCAATTGTCCGAGCTCTCTCTTTAAAAAAAAAAAAAATCACTCCAGCTCCTATGTGGAGAATGATTTGGAGGATTCAAGAGGTGCCCAGTTAATAAGTCTTCTTGGTTGCCCAACTGAGCTAGGAGACTGGCAGTGATGTAAAGTAGACAGATTCTAGAGATATTTAATAGGTAAAATCAATAAGACATGGTTTTAGATTGGATATGGAAAGAGCGATAGATCAGTGAGGTGCTTGGTGGTAATTCTTGAAGGTGTGGTTTTGATTGGATTTGATAGATAATGGAGGGCTGCAGTACCTATTTGAGTAGAGGCCATTCAAAGTTTGAGTTTAACAAAGGTCACTCTGTCAGCAGCATGGGGGATAAATTGCAGGTGAATGAGAATATAGGCAGTTGCAGTGGTCCGGGTGACATGATTAAATCTGGATGACACCAAGGCATTTCAATGGGGATGGAGAGAAATTGAGAAGGTCAAATACCTACCCGAGGATTAGTGCATGGAGACCATTCGGTTTTGGGACAAGGAAGGGGAGTGAAGAGGACCTCGAACAATCTCTCCCTTTCTGTGTGATTGTCCCTCTCTCATGACATCAGACTCAACCAGCAGTTCAGCTCTTACCTGTTTCCGGGACAGCACCGTGCCCTGCTGTGGTAGAAGAAGCCTTGGGAGCTGGCATGGTCCTGTTGCTGCCACTGACAGGTAACATTCTTCAGGTTCAAGGTAAAGCACTGTAGTCCAATTTCCACTACGTTAACAGAAGGAAATCCCATCAGGGCCAACACATCCCCACTCTATAGGACATCCAGATCATCTTCACACATAACCTGGAATATTTACTTTCATTCTTTGTTCTCTCCCTGAACACAGTTAACTGTCCAGTGGCAAGTTTGAGGTCATCAGGAAGGACCATGGTTCTCAGAGCTTCCATATCCAGTCCAGGTCTCTCTAGAGATCTTTTCTATCTCCTCCCTATCTTCCCATTCTTTTGTTGACTCACCTGCATCTCCAGGCAGGTCCACAGTTGCAGGGACGGACCAGGATCCCCAGGAGCCTTGGAGGGAGACCCCGTCGGGTTGGCTGCGCAGCTGCAGCTCATAGGATTTACCAGGCTGGAGCCCTGAGATGAGGCAGCTTCCACTCATCACTGTCAGAGATGAAGCCTTGGGAGAAGAATCCCAGCCTCAGAAGTTAGGTCTGCCTCCCAACCCAGACAGCCTCCATCTCTTATATTTGAAGCCCCACAGCATACCTGTGGAGAGATGCCCAGTTCCTCACCGGATAGATACGCACACAGACTAGGGGCCAGGTCAGTGGGTTTCAGGTGGTGTTCAGAGCTTTTTAGGGAAATCCCCATTACCTCAAAGGCCTGAAATGCTCAATTTTGTTGGTGTGAATGACCCAAAGTGGGAGATTCCTAAATAGACATGGCTCCCATGCCCATACTAACTTCCCATGGACCAACCCAATCTGGAATCCCCAAAGTACAGCCTGTCCTTTCGTGGGGCAAAATTAGGGGTAGGAGATAGGAGGTAGGGCAGAAGAAGGCCAGGATACTTCTCTAGTTGGGGAGGTCTGCTCCGGTCCATCCTGTTGGGGCATCGCGGGCTGAGCACACAGAGGCTGGTGCAGAGCCTGGGCTGGGTTTAGTCTCTGCAGGGCCGGACAGCAGGTTTCTGTGGGCAGCAGCTGCACGACTGTGAGAGCAGTGGAATTCCTGGGGTCCTTGGGGCCATAGCGGAGTTCGTGCCTCAGGAAATCACTGATTTCAGGAGCTGGGGTCTCCCAGCTGATCTGAAGTTCCCCTGGTTGGCTCCCGCCCACAGCCTTAATGATATTTGGGGGAGCTGGCAGGCCTGACAGGACAAGACAGGAGACATTAGAGCCCTCTGAGTGCCACAGTCTATGGTTCAACCCACGGACTGTAGAGAGAGGAGCTGGAAGCTGGATTGCAGGCAGCCCCGGGGTTCTAGGAGATCCCAGACCATTGCTCTCTTGGAAGCCAGGGCAAGGAGACTCCTTATCCTGTTCTCCCTTCCTCATTAGAACAGTGGCCTCTTTTCAGGTTTGTTAGACTCAGTGCTCCTCAAGAGCAGGGATCTCTTCATTTCTGTATCTTTGTCACCTAGCACAGTGCCTGGCACATAGAAGGTAGTCTGTAACTGTTGAATGAGTAGATGCATAGGTTAGTGATGGGGGTGGGGTGGGGCACAGGTTGTCTCTGGTGTGAAATAAAGTCTTGGATGGATGAAGTTTTGGAGGCCAAGTCTGGGAAGAATGATAAGGGGGTCTTGAGGTACCTCTAGCATCTGGTAATGAAGGGCATCCATGTGGCCCCAAGAGAGCACAGACCAGTCTGATCCAAGGAGCTGGATGAAGGCAGCAAATCGAGGGGCCAGGGTGACAGGAGGATGGCCCTTACCCACACTGTCCACAAAGAGCACCCGCTGGGTCAGAGTCTGGTTCAGAAACATGTTCTTCACCCACAGGTGCAGTGGAAAGAACAGGCGAACTTCATCCTGGGCTGGAAACTGGCACACATATCGGGTTCCAAAGGGCAGCATCTTCTCGAAACTAAGGGGGCAGGCGCGGGGCTTCTCCCTGTGGGAGCAGGAGGAGTCTCTTCTACCTACACGGCCACCACCACAGGCTCTGAGGACCCAAGTCTGGCCTAAGCCCAACTTCTATTTCCATCACTGCCATTTTTCTCCTCAGTGCCTGGGATAAGTGGGGTTGGGGGTTATGCAGGGGCCGGAACTGGTGATATCCAAAGCACATATGTTCATTAAGTAGCTACTGAGGGCATGTAATTAGAATAGTCCCCTGACAGGGCCAAAGGCAGGGAAGCTTTTGGGGGGGGTGGGGGGGGGGCTCGGCTGAGTAAGTACAGGACAGATACAGGGGAGTGTGGCATAGCCCAGCACATACCCTGGATAAGCATACAGCAGCTGGTATGTTCCATTGGGCGCTGCTTCTTCCTCATCCCAGAAGCAAGTGAGGTCCTCAAAGGTTCGAGAGAAACATTTCAGGGGCTCTGAATCCGAGGCCAGCAAGGAGGTACCTGAGGAACAGCTGCTGAGTTGGGCTCTGAGTCCTCCCAGGCATGTTTATGGGCAAGAGTAGGGGACTAGTGGGAGCCTCCTACCTTGCGCCCCTCCCAGGGCTCCCTCTTCCTGGGTATAGGTGATCTCCACCCTCCATACACCTCACCTTGGCTGCTGACTTGTGCCAGGTTTTGGGGGGCCAGGAGGAGGCAGGAGGTAACCACCAGGAGGGCCCAGGAGGGCATCTTCTCCGGCACTGTGTGCCTGCCTTAGCCCATCCTCCTCTCAGGAAGCCGGGCCCCAATCCCCTCCCGGGCCAGCCCCTCAGGTTCCTGTCAGATACAGCCCCACGTCCTGTCCCTGTCCCTGCCCCTGTGGGGCCCATCCAGACCACACTGGGGCCAAGGGCCAGGGGAGGGGGAGTGGGAGTGGGCAGGAGGGTAGAAGGAATTTGAAAAAGAAGATATAGGCCTTTTGGTGGGAGGGAGATGGGGGTTACATTTTTGACTGTGTACCAGGAGACTACGCCTGTGTGTGTCTACATCAGCTGTTATAGAAGGGCGGATTATCAACAAGGGTAGCAACATTTACTGAGCACTTACTATGCCGATACATGCTAAGGACTTTATATCTATTGACTCAGCCCATCCTCACAATAGTCTTATTTCCATTCTAGAGATGAGGAAACTGAGACGCAGGGAAGTTAAAAGATTTACCCAAGATCACAGACCTACTAAGAGGTAAAGCTCAGGAGGTCAAGTTTCAGAACCCAAGCGCTTAACAACCATGCCAGGCTACTGGAAGGTGTAAATCCATCGAGAAACAACTGCCTCACAACCGTAACAAAATGGTGGCTATGTCCACTTTATTTTTTTTTTTTAATTTTTTTTTATTTTTTTAATGTTTTTATTTATTTCTAGGAGAGAGAGAGAGAGAGAGAGACAGAATGAGCAGGGGAGGGTCAGAGAGAGAGGGAGTCACAGACTGAAACAGGCTCCAGGCTCTGAGCTGGCAGTCAGCACAGAGCCCGACGCGGGGCTCGAACCCACGAACCATGAGATCATGAACCAAGCGAAAGTCGGACGCTTAACCGACTAAGCCACCCAGGCGCCCCTAAAAATAAAACTCTTATATGGTACCTACTAGAATAGAATATCATTATGACATGACAGCCACCATTATCCATTTTAAAAGTACAAGACAAACTCTTTAACTGTCAGATATTTTACATCATTTCTTTTATTCCTTAAAATAATATTTCCATTCCACTTCCCTCACACAATTTTATCCTGATGTAATGTATTTTTATGTTTGATGATGTTTTATTGATCACTGTATCAAATATCTCAGCAACAAAACATGTATACAAATTTAAATTTAGTTTTCTGTAAGCATAAGTAATAATTATTAAATATAAGAAGTAACATTTTATTAGAAGAGTATCTCTTAATGAGATGGAGTAGAGAAGATAGGTTATGATACCTTCATTAAAGGAAACTTGGCCAATAGTGGTATCTTGAATTGTTCCTTCTCTTAGCATCTTAGAAGCTTTTATACCCTTGGGCAATGTGCCTTGGTAAGGTTCAGAACGTTGGGTACCCAGACTTCTATGTGCTATGTGTACCAACATGATGATGATGGTAGCTGATATCATGGTAAATTGAAGATGCCCCTTGACTATTTCCTGGGTATCCAGAAGCCCCCAGATCTTTGTGTGACTCCAGGGCAGGGGAGGGAACCTGATAATGCCAAAAATTAGACTTTCTATAACCATGACAGAATGGGTACTTAGAGCCTGATTTACTTTGATTCAAAGAATACAAGAAAATGGGACATTTCTGGTACACTTGATCTCTTGACATTGAAATTC